AGGAAGGAAGGAAGGAAGGAAGGAAGGAAGGAGGAAAAGAAGGAAAAAGGGAGGGCGGGAAAGAGAGAGAGACAGGGAAGGAGGAAGAAAGGAGGGAGGGAAGGAAGGAAGGAAAGAAGGAAGGATGGAGGGAGGGAGAGGGGGAGGAAGGGAAGGAGTGAAAAGAAGAGAGAAGAGATGGAGGGAAGAAAGGAAGGAGGGAGGGAAGGAGGGAAAAGAAGAGAGAAGAGATGGAGGGAATAAAGGAAGGAGGGAGGGAGAGAAAGAGAGGAGGAGGAGGAAGGGAGGGAAGGAGGAAAAAGAAGAGAAGGAAGGGAAGGAAGAAAGGAAGGAGGGAGGGAAAGCGGAACGAAGGATGGAGGGAAAGAGGAACGAAGGAGGGAGGAAGGAAGGATGGAGGGAGGGAAAGAGGGAGGGAGGGACGAAGAAAGGGAAGGAGGGAAGGAAAGAAGGAAGGAGGGAGGGAAAGAAAGAGGAAGGGAGGAGGAAGAAAGGAGGGGGGGAAGGAAGGAATGAAGGAAGGAGGGAGGAAGGGAAAGAGAGAGAGGGAGGAAGGGTGGGAGGAAGAAAGGAGGGAGGAGGAAGGGGGGAAGGAAAGAAGGAAGGAAAGAAGGAAGTAAGGAGGGAGGGAGGAAGAAATCACGACATTGGCAGATAAAAGTACTTAACACCCGCATGTATTTTCATTCCCACAAACCGAAACACCGCAGCTCCACCCTGTGGCTACCGAGAGGTTGGATCTACACTACACAAAGACCAACAATAACAATGAGGTTTTGACTTCCTTCCCAAGAATCAGAGGTTCGAAGTGGAGAACGGGGGAGACGTTCGTTTAAACAGGGGCTGACTTTGCAAACGAGAATGGCCACTCATGGGCTCCAGTCACTCAAAAAACCCCAAACCCCCAAAATAGATTTGAAAGGGAGAGAAGGCTGGAGAAGAAAATCACTTACTCTCTATGGTTTTTCTGACCTTGGGAACTTTTCAATTCCCGTAGCTGGCTGGGGAATGCTGGG